AAAAGAAAGAAAAGAAAAAGGTTCAACAGAGGTGTAAATAGTTCCAGTTTTATTTTACCTCATTACTGTCCCTGTTATGTCTAATCTTTCTTCCTTCCTGCGTGATTGATTCCATAATGGCATCTTACACAGATTTTAAATCTTTCTTGTTACTGATAATTATTAGAACATAGTGTTTAATTCTCAGTTAAAATTCTAATGTCATTTTCTAAACTATATCTTAGCCCTTTCATAGATCAGACCCATGCCTTGAGGGATCTGAAATGAGTGGAGAAAAATATGTTTTTCTTTTTCTTTTTTTTTTTTATTCAAGTACTTTGGAATACGAAGTAAAGTATAAGAACTGGGACTGTCTCCTCCTTCCTCTGATTTTGAGTCCTGCAGAACTGGGGAATGGGGGAAGGTAGATAGGTGAGGCATAAATCTTACCTAACTGGTTGCCTATTAGGGACCAGGAGGTATTTCATATTAATCTAGTTCCATCTGCTGCTCATGACTTCGATTTGCAATGTAATTTCTGCACAGATGGTGTGTGTTTATATTTTAGGACACTGTATAATGTTCAGCTCACTCCATTACAGAATTTTATTATACATTGGCTTCTGTCACCTGAAGAGTATTTCCAAATTTGGTATCTCTTGTGCCTTTCCACCTTACTGTTGGGGTCTTTCATATGGAATCAAGAGTAACTGCTGAGGTCCTATTTGCTGTGCTTGAAGGACTGCAGAGAACCAGACATACTGTACCATGATCCTTTCTTATGGTGCTGTAGCATGGCTCCTTTACATATTTCTTGATAAGGGGATACCTATCATATACACATGCCTTAAGATCCTCAAGTACGGACTCATATTCACCCAAGAATTTCCATGATGACCTGTAGTTTCCTGCTTCTCTTTTCTTGCAGTTCTGGGAAATGATCCCAGGACCTTGCACATGGTAGGCAAGCACTCTACCATTAAGCTAGAACCCCAGCCCTGATGAAGACTTTGTAAGGAACATTTGATTTTTTTTTTTGGTGGAACCAGGGATTGAACTCAGGCCCTTGCACTTGCCAGGGAAGCGCTTATTCCACTGAGCCATCTCCCCGGCCCCGGAACATTTGATTTCTAATAATGACATTACTAGCCTTTTGAAAGTTGTTTCTCCTTTTAACATGACCATATATGCTGTGAACATAAGTTGCTTTAAAATGATTTTGTTTTCAAAAAAAATCTATACTTACACATGAGAAAATTTGATAACATGATATTGAATCATCATATGACAAAACGTGTAGATTGCAGGTTAAAAGTAACTCACACTCCCTGGCATTTGTTATATAAAGAAATCCTTTGGTGGGATGTAGTATCTAAGATACCAGGACACATGGGTATAGAGGAAGGAAAGGTGGCTTGCTTAGGGGTGTAGTGAGATAACTAGGTAAAGGAAATATGGCTAAGGGCTCAGAACAGGAAAGATAGAGGTACATTGTATAAGATAAACTAAATAATTTTGATTATAAAACATTCTATAGGTGCCAAGGAAATCTCCATTTTACATTGAGAACAAAGAAGTAGGCTACTTTATTAGTTAAAGCAAGATCTTTGGCAATGAAATAGTTTCGTAGGAAAATTCTCAAGAACTGATTAGATGGAAAGAAAGGTGCAGTTTTGGAAAGTGAAAGTGAATTCTAAGTGCTGGTTTTCTCTTTTGATTGCAGAATTTATTCTCTACGTGAGCCCCAGACACCCACTAAGGTGATTTTACTTTCAGAAGCAGAAGAGGAAAGTCTAATACTCAATAAAGGGTAAGTTTTTATTTGTGTCACCTAATGTTTATTGAGATAAGTGAAGTTTTAACAGATTGCAAGATTTTTCTAGAGATGATTTTAGCATGCTATAGACAGTATGAGAAGTAAGCAAAACTAGACAATGTAAATAATGAGAAGTTACAAATCAGTGTCACTATATTTGATCTCTTTGCAAGAAAGTTCTAAAATATGGGTGTCAGAAACTGATTTGTTGTTGTAATTTGGGTAAGAGAGTACATTAGAAAATTGCAAAATTGGAGAAAAGGTGAAAGTGGAGAGTAGTGGGCTGGAGGCCTACGGGCTACTCACTCAGTGTGGGTAAGGCAGATTGCTGGACTCTCAGACCAGCTTTTTTCTCGTATTCCTGAACTAGAGTGGAACCTATGATTTTCTGGTGACGCTTCCTTCTTTTGTTTTCTTACCCACCATAGGAACAAGTTCCTGACTACTGTGAGCACTAAAAGAATCACCCTCTGAACTTACAGACCACATTCCTGTGGTCTCTTGATTAGTCTTTCTAATGATTACCACACATGATCCCACACATACAGTGTGCATGTAGCATGAAACTTCAGTAGGACTATTTCCAGAAGCTCCATTTAGTTATTTTCATTTCTTTCTCTGATGATTACTCCTATTGTTTTGCTCATTTTTGTTATTCTGGCCTTTGTTCCTTGAATAACTTGTACATATTTATATTTGCCAGTCTCAATATTGGAAGTCTCTGTGGTAGAGGAATTCTTAAATCTATATTTGTTTTTCTTTTTATGTTTTTCTTAATCTGCAATGACGTACTTGTTTTTTTGACTTGTGGTGACATATTTGTTTTTCTTGACCTGCGATGACATTGTTTTCTCCATTGTTGCTGATCTCTATGAACTTTGATTTATTTGATCCTGATGTTTGGAAATACCGAGTAGCTAAATTGGGAGTATATTCCACAAATGATTTGTATCTACTTCTATTAGGTATCTGGGATTGCTACTGATCCGTGATCAGTTTAGTTCTCTTTGATGGTCTCAGAACTGGAAGTTTCAGTTAGATGATGTGAATGTCCTATAGCACAGGTTCTAAGTCCTAATGTATCCATCTCCTCAGTAGAGAAATACCTGCCTCTTGGCTTTGTCCTGTCCTTGGGTTAGGGCATTTTCTCTCCTGCAAATGGGTTTCTACAGCTCACTTAACTTCTTTGTGACAGACACATTATCTACATAAGAAGTAGTACTTGAACTACTTGCCAGATATGACATCTAGGCAAGTTTCCAGTAGCGCTAACAATTCGTTTCCATGACTTATTCCATGAATATAATAGATAATAGTGTTCCTTTCTTAGGCTTATTATGCAAATAAAGGAGATAATGCATAAAGCTTAGCATGGGGCTTGGCACAAAGTACACATTGGTATCCCTACTGTCATTATTAGTTACAGTATTTATTAAGCTTCAGTGAACTATTAATAGTTTGGGAGTCTTTTAAAGCTCATTAAATTTCTGTGTTCCCACTTACTATCTTAATATTTCAGTTTAATTTGATTACCTTTTCTAGTATTTAGCATTTCCCTCTTTATTTTTTACATTTACTGTACATCTTTCTACATAATAGACAAAACTAATACGTGAAACTTATAGTGGCTTACAATGATGTTGAAGCTCTATATGAAGTTGATGTTAATTGTATTCATTTTTTTTGTTGTTGTTGTTTATGTAATTGTTACGGGGTCTCACTACGCAGCTTGGACTCGTAGTGATCCTCCTGTTTTCAGCCTCCCCAGTGCTGATGCACCACAACGCCCAGGCTCAGTCTCTAGCTCAACACACCCTGGGCATGCAGCTGGTGTGCCATGCGGGACCAGGAATCAAACCTGGTCCCTGTACTTGGCCAAAGCAGGTGCTTAGTCCACTGAGCTATATCGCCAGCCCTTAACTCTATTCATTAACCTGTTGAATTAGAGTCCTTTGAATGACCACTTCCACTAATTTTTTATTTTTATTTTTTACTTATACTAAATTTTAAAATGTAAAAGAACATTGTTCTTCCTAATGACACGGATAATATATAAAATACCTATTACATAAAATTGGGGGAAAATGGAAATCATCTGTATTGTATAGCCTGCCTTCAACATAGCAGTCCAAGTGGTATTTTTGGTTTAATCAGGTCACTCCTATTGCCTTGTTCTCCATACCTATTGATTTCCCACATCCTTCACCACAGTCTATAAAGGTCCTCAGGGCTGCCACCTAACTCCTTCTCTAGCTTCGTTTCTGCCCCTCACTGTGCCCTGGTTGTGTGGGCTCCAGCCTCTTTGACCTTCTTGCCATTCCTTACCTTCCATGTTTGACCTTTGGCATCTCTAGAAGGGATAGCAGTTGCATGTGCAGTTCATTTGTTGTCATTGGCAACAGTCCCAAAGAATATATTTGGACAAAATGGCAAAGGTGAAGTAGTGGCATAACCACTATACATGTTGCCATGTGTCCTTTCCTCCTTTTTAGCTGCTCCTTCCTCAGGTATCTTCAGACTTGCTGCCTTACTTTCCTTAGATCTTCATTCAGATATCACTTACCAGAGTCCTTGCCATACCACCTCAACTAAAATAGCTCCTCTGTCAATATCCCTTTGCCCTTCTTTTTTTTCTATAACATCATATTCTGAATTTGTTTTGTTTCTTCTCTGTTTATTTTGTGTCTCTTACTACACAGCAGAGCCTTTAATTTGGTTTTTTTTCCTTTAATTTTTTTTCATAATTTTATTGATAAACAAATAGCAATGAGACAGTTTCAAATCAAATTGCTAGGACAGTTTCAATAATTAACACACTGCATACATTCTTCTTAGTGGTTAA